TTTATAAACATATTTATGTGTTTTTACCTGGTCCTTTCCTCTAGTAACCAACACCATGGCATTTGTTTGTGTCTGTAAACACATTAAGATGATTGGTGAGCGAGATGAGTCAGAACAATCATTTCGAAACTGCCATCCAACTTGGCTCTGGGATCCCAGAGGGCAGGGACCGTGTCTTATTCAATTCTGTTTCCCCAGCTCCTGGCAGGATGCTTGGAACACAGAAGGTGCTCATTTAATGTCTACTGAATAAGTGAGTGAATGTTTATGAGTTAAGTCTGGCCTAGAAAGGGGGCCTGAAAAGACTTCTGGACACAAACTAATTCTACTCTCCTAAACTCCTCCACCCTGATAAGGATTTTTTTGTTTATTTGTTTGTTTGTTTGTTTGTTTGTTTTAAATACAACCTTAAAGTCATATACAGAGGAGGAAGGAATAGTGAATTTAACCAGATTGGGGGCTACTATCCTTGGAAGAGCTTTAGAGGGAAAATTCAGCAAACAGTGACCATCATGCCGTGGGAGGTAAGCATGGAAGGAGGGCAGAGTGTGGGCCATCTAGGGAGTCCATGACTGAAGTGGGGAGGAGAGAACATGAAGGAGAAAGGTTTTGGGAAGTGGGGTGAGAGCTGGACTTCTCCGAGTGTCGCACAACCAATGCCAGTTTCCGAGATGCCATGTGCACATCATACACATGAGCAGTTCCTCAAAGAATGCAATTTCCTTTTTTAAGTGGAAACTTTAAAGGCTTTGAAAAGAGCCTAGTTTTCTCTTGCAGATAGTGCCTGGAAGTGTTGCAATGAAAAGAGCCTACTATCTATTTGAAACAAATGTGGAATGAACTGTCAAGGTCAGTGCTATACAGCAGGAAGTCTTTCTGAATATTCTAAGCCCGAGCGTAGCACGAAAACCTGCATGTTGTAGGTGGCTCAGGGAAGCTGTTGCCAGGCATAGGTGAGAAATGCTGCAAGTGAACGTGGGGTATGGTTTGTGGCCCTTATAAGTGTCCTCACACAATCCGATCAGCATCTTGACGCATAAGAGATATGCGATAATACTTGGAGTAAATTTGTTCAGGATGGCTTGGAAATAGCCCTGAGTGTACAACTTGGAAATATTTATAAAGAAGTATTTAGAATTATCTGTGGCTTTTAGGCCTTGGAGGCCAAGGTTGGGTACGGCCAGACTGAGCAGCTCAGAAAGTGTCCAATGTGGCTGATAACCTGGGGAATGACAGGGCCGTGCATCTGAGCACATAACTTCTCAGCGTAGAGCTGCACAGGGTCACCCTCTGATAGCCCTTTACACTGTTTCTCACCGTACGTGGAATAAAGTCCACACTCGCAGCCACGTCTCCCAGTCGGGCAGGGCCGGAACCCTTCTGCGTCCCCTGCCCTTTATGCTGTAGCCTCTCTGGCCTTCTCTGCCCCCTTCTTCTGCCTCGGGACTTTTATGTACATGCTGTTCTCTCTGCCCAGAATCAATGCTTTCACCACTTGGCCTGATCAGTTTGTTCCTCCTTATATTTCAGGACTCAGCTCTGTGGCACCTCCTTGGGGAGGCAGGCCCCGTGCACCCTTGCTGTTCTTGACATCAGCACCCCGTTTGTTTTCTCTATGGCCCTTACTGAGAACTCTAATTTTCTCAATTTTTTGCATGTTTTTTCTGTCTTTCTCCCCGTGCCCCATCATACAGTAGATTCCATGGTGGCAGAAATCATACCTGCCTTGATCATGGCTGAATCCGTGGTGCGCCTTCCTGCTTCTGGCACAGAGAAGGTGCTCCGTGAGTATTTGTCAATGAAGGAATGTGGAGGAAAATAGAAACAACAAAAAGTCAGAGACCCTTCAGACATTGTGTGGAGTTGGCCCTGTGTTTTCTGATGCAACGAGATGGCTGTTGGAATGCCCAGCAAAGGTCTACGGGGCCTGGAGGAAATGGTCAGGATGGATGGCTATTGGACTAACAGCTAGGTTCTCCTGCTGCTGTGGTCCCACCGGGATTCTGGGAGACAAGTGAAGAGGAACAGCTCCCCCACAGAATTCTCTCCTTTTACACGAAAAGGCCGTGAGGACCCCTGAAGATGGGGCTTGTCCACTGGGCAGAATTCTAGTCTGGTGCCTTATCTGACAGGAAGGAGGGTGAGGGCTCTACCAACACACTTCTTGAGTGGGATTGACAGGGAGGTAAACAGGCACGTTTCCATCCATCGGGGTGCAGACTAGGTTCAGCAAA